CCTTCTGAGCTGCAATGGCTTTGTGGGGTGAACTTGAGCAAAAAGCATGGAGACATACTCCTGAGTAATGCAGAGAGGAGGCTGGAGTCCAACAAGATACTAGCTGACATCTACAGATTTTGTTCTGGGCCCAAGGCCTACTTGTGTCATAAAATGCGATTTTGACATAATCATTCCCCAGGGTGGAACTATGCTTTCAAGGATTTACATTAGGCATATTCTTAGGACATGCTTACACTGCCATGCTTTGCAAAAGTAAGTATTCCACTATCAGTTTCTGGCTTTGAAGTGTACAACTGCCATAGACCTTTCTTTAATCACTGAGATGTCTGCTTCCAAGGGAAAAATAAAACCATGGCCAGCAACAGAGAGATCACAGATGGGAATTGGAATGCTATTCTGGATATCCCTAAGTCAAAAGGAGGGACTGGGGATGTGGCTTACACTCTCAGCAGTTAACTCTCGCTCAGGCTGAAGAAGAAGGACGCTCTGATCTACAGCTCGCAGGGCACAGTAGGAGTTGGCAGCAGCTTCAAGGTGGAGACTGACTTTAGAGCCTGGGAGACCCTGCTTCTCAGAGAACTCGAGCTGGAGCTGGAAATTAATAAATCCAATATAAACACACAGAAATTAGGAGAATCAGCTTGGCACACAGATCTAAATCTCACCTTTCACCAGCACTCACTCTATTCTCTGTGGGGCAAAGATGCTACCGCTAGATGGCCCTTCTGAATCCCTCTTCGGTAAAAATCCACAATCTCTATAATCCCATAGTCACTAGGGCAACTTTGAGCATATGTGTCAATTTCTCGTGTTGCCAGGCACATCTGTACCTTTTCCATTCCTAAAGGCCATCCTGAGTGCAGAGCTTTTCATGAAGTCATTCCCTAACTGCTCCCTCAGCAAAGAACCAGCTCATATAACCCTTAATAAGAAATCAAAGGTTTTCACCTTGTTTTTGAAGCATACATCGCTGTGTATCCAAGAGCTGTCAGCCACTATCTCCCCATGAGGATGCACTGTGTAGAGCAACAGCCTGTTGCTGGGGGCAAGTTTCTCAGTGACAGTCAGTGTGATGGAGAATGTACCTCTTGGAGCTGTGGAAGTAACATGGAACAGGGGAGAAGGAGCCAACAAAATTGATTAGACAAACCTCAGCTTTGCTGGAAGGACCACATATTTATCCATAACCTACCAGCACCTTTTAAAACTGGGAAGTTGGGTTTAGTCCCATCAGCAAGACAACAGATACAAACTGGAAGATGCTGAGAGCAGACTCCTTTGCAGAGAGGGGTCTGAGCTGAGCAGAAGTTGGACAGGGAAATATGTGAATGATTGCTACTAGATGAGGAAAACATTGCCTTTGGGTCTCAAAACTGGAACCTCCTACACCAGAGGAGATAGGCCAATCTCCTGAGCTAAGGGAGAGCTTTCTTAACACTAGGAAATATGAAGTTCTTATCTACATGGATGACAACTATTAAATCAGGGACAGGAAATTAAGCTTTCACGTCAGTTTTGGTGAGTCACACTCTCCCGCACCTTCGTGTTAGCTCCCAATAATATGGAAAAACCACATGGCTTCAAGCTGATTTCATGAAGGGAAAATCATGTGCCATAGCTACCTTTTGATGAATGGGATGCCCTTCTCTAAACCATAGGGGAACCTATACTGTGCAGCCATAGTGCATGAATACTGAGAGAAAGACCAAAGATGACAAATACTAAATAACAAGTCCTATATGGGGAGTGAGGCTTACTTAAGCCACCGACTGAAGACTGAAAATAGACCAGGTTCTGCACAAAAATAAATTTTTTAACAATGAAAGAACAAAGTTCAGTTTGCTGAACATCATTGTCATTTGTGGGTATTTGGAGACTTCTGAAAGTATACTGAATTCCAAGGAGTTAACTGCTAAATATCTCTGTCGAAGGGGACACCTATTATTTCAAACTTCAAAAAGATTTAGTCTTCTAATCAGTGAAGACTTGGATGTCACAGAATAACTGTGAAACTGCAAATACTCCTTGGCAAGAAGTGAAACAGAAGAAGGTTACATTCCTTGGTGTTTGAACACCACAAAGTTTTCATCTTTCAACTAATAAGATCAATTTGATTATGGTATGGGGATTGGCTAGATGCTGCAGCAAACACAGATGGTACTGTCAGTGGTGACAGGTCATGGGGTTTAGGAACTAGTACCTGATTTAACTGCAGTTCCCTGCTTTCATCCCTTCTTACAAAACTTACTAATGCTATGGTGCTCAGAACAATGCTCTGAAGTATCAGTAGTAATACGGCCTAGAACTTACCACCAGAGATGCTGACTTGCTTCTGGCCACTGAGAATAATTTTTCCTTTTGCCATCACCTGGGCATAGAAAAAAACTTATGAGACAGGATCAAAAGCACCTCCTCCCTTTTCCCATGAAATCATGGATTTTTAGTAGTGTTCTGAGAGGCTTTAAAGGCCATCAAGTCAAACTGTGATCTGTAACCACTGTCTGGCCTGGAGATTTCTGCTTTATATAGTCTTCAAGGGAAGGTGAAAGAAAACAGATGTTTTGGTAGTCAAGGTAGCACCTACCATGAAGTAAAAGTTCGTGTGGCTGGCCATCTCTGTTCAGGACATAGTGAACATTGATCATTTGCTGCTGGCCACAGCTGAGCTTCTCCGTCACTGGCTGGATTTTCACAAAGCTGTTGGTCCGTGAGTAGAAACGTCGGACAAAGAATAAGGCTTGGGGCTCATTATCATTCCTCCACATGAAGAAGTCTGCACAGTCATCTGGTGCCTGTCTGGCCTATGAAGCAGAAGAGTTATATATGGGGAATCAACAAAGTGGAAAATAAAAAAATGGCAGTCAGCTGAGAAGTAAAGACATCTTCCCTCTAAAATATTCTGTTGGGAAGCTGGTTTTGTGGGGCTATTTAAGCCAAGAGCAAGAGCTGTTGCGAAAAATTTGTGTTTCACCAGTCAAGAGCGAGGGGCCTTCTGGACACCTTAATGTATCCGGACATCTATGGCATGTTGTGGTAGGGAGGTTATTTCAGATTGTTGCAATCTTGGGACAGGTTGTATAAACTGCTAGGACTCATTGTGAGTTAGAATGGCATTGTTCTCAAACAGCCTTCTTTTTTTCAGGTCTTCCCATCACACCAGAGAAAAGACATGAGAACATGAGATGATCATGTGGTAGTAACAGGCATGAGTCTCTGCCAGCAGAAATGCAGGGAACAGGCAGCAGCAGAGAAAGAGGCTGGCATGCATCCAGGCTGGCTGGGGAAGGCAGGGCAGTCTGTGAGGAAGGTTCTCCACAGAATAAAGAGAAGGAAGATGGCTGCAGAAAGGACTTCTGAGCAGAGGGAAAAGTAGGGCAGTGCTGAAGATCACTGCAGCCAAAACACGCTTGGGGTGCAGTCTGCCACTTTGTAGGCACCAGTGTTTTCTCATACTAGTTTTACACAGGCTGCAGGTGTTGGTGGACTGACTGCCTACTTTCCTCCTCTGGAACAATCCTGCCAGTACTCACTGATTGCTTCTAATGCCTCTCTCCAATGAAGTATTTTTTCAGGAACTAGACTGAAGCTTGTATTTACTTACTCTCAACTTAAAATTGGGATCAAAGAAGTTGGATGTGTCAATGGAAAAAGCAGCAGTGCCATTCTTGTCAGTGGTATAGTTGGCCAGGTATTTTTCGTTGAGCTCCAGCAGGACAGTCCTATTGGCAACGGGCTCACCATCCACATTCGTCACAGTGATCTAAACACAAATACCCAAGGGATTCAGAAAAAAAAAACAACAAAAGAAGGGGAAATGCTCTGCTCTTCAGAGGATGCTCACTTAAGCACTGAGGACAATTGCAGGGAGTAGAAATCAAGAATGAAATGTATTTCGAGGCAAATGCTCCTCAATATTTTGAAGGAGCAGGAGTTCTGTGACAGGCAAGGACAAACTATATGTCACAGAGAGAGAAGGAATTGTTTATATATATGATCTCGTATGAAAAATTCTTTCAATGAAAAGTCCTTTTTTTCTTACATGATCTCATACAAAAGTCCTCTGTTTCTCTTCAGCCACCATTAGTTCAGTGCGCCATCACATAAGTTATAAACTACTGAGTGAGAGATGACAGTTTAAATTCTTCCCTTATGCTCTCCCTTCCTCAGCAAACACAAACAGAGGGACTCCAGAGCACACACTCTTTGGAGGGTGCTGATTAACAACCCTAAAGCAGTCAGATGACTTCATGGCCACAGGTAACCTGCGGAGCTGAGTAGCACCTGCCCAGCTCCTGGGCATCTGTGCATACCCTCTTGTCCCCATTGCGTATCAGGATGCTGCTGTGTGGCCCATCCTCCTTTCTGTGCCTGGGTTTATCCTGCATGTGCAGGTTGGTAAGAATGTGGAATGTGCTCCAATACCTATACTGCTTTCAGTAAACATCCCTGGGACTGTGTGATGCAACACAGGGTAAATTCTACTTTCAGTTTAGGCACAGCTGTTGCTGAAGTAGTTTCTTGCAGGCTCTTCTTCCCCACTCATGCAACCTTTCACTTACCCACCTTTTAGGTATTCTCTAACTATGGCAGAAGAGAGACCCTAACACTCCAAGTATGCTATAATTGTCTTATTTTCCATAGGAACATCTAACGTAATAAGAGCAGTTATGCAACATTATCATGGGAAGTTGTCAGCATAGAATTAGGAGACAGCCATAAATGGGGCAACACAGAGATCATCATGCTGCACCTCAGGGAGTTTTGATCTAAATGTATCCTCTCAGATACCCACCTCACCACAGTAAGGAATTCCCCTCTTGTAGTAGAGATCCATATTCTTGAACATAATTCTGTCATTTTCTTGGTTGACTGCAATGTAGTCATAGTCTTTCATCTGGATACCTGTGAGACACACCCAGTATAAAGGGGAGGAAATGGAAATCAGACATGGACAGAAAACTGTTTCTTTTGAAAAGCTACATGGAGCAGTAATGTTCTGGAGGGAGAGCTACATGAAGAAAATGCTGATTGTTGGTTGTTTGCTGCACAGGAGATTCCTCTCAGAAAGTACCACCTATTAAATTTAATCAGCTACTCCCAACCTCCACTTGGTGTTACCTGTCCCATTTTCAGTGACAATGCTTTCTACATTGAGGCTGGTATACATCCTGGCATAGCTGCGGTACAGCTGGAATGTTTTGATGGAGATGACAGTGTTGAGGCAGCCATCCTTCCCCAGCTGAAAAAGGAGCACAAAAGGAAAGGCCCATTTTTCTCAAAGTTTAGAATATTGCTCCTGAATCTCTATTAGTGAGTCTCTGAAGTGCTTCATGCCTCTGCTTACATCTTCAGCTACTACTTTCTATTTGCTCCGCTCCTACCTACCTTACACTTCTCACTCCTGGCTCCCTTCCCAGCTCATTGTTTCAATATCATCTACCCTTGCACCTGGAAACCTCTCTCCTCATTCCCCCAAGTCCTCTCTATGCTCACATCCCTTCTCAAACCCATCTTGCATGATGCCTGAGCTCTATGACCGGAGCACTTTGAGTCTGATCTAGTGGAGAAATTAATCATTAGTTTAATATTAAGTATCCTTGAAGACTGACAGTATAGATCTACTGATTACACTTGGTGAGAACACAGCTCCAGTGTTTTAGGAATGATCACAAATTTATAGTTTCATAATCTTCCCTCCCTCCTACTGACTCTTTCTGAAGGAAAAACCAAAGCATCCTAATAAGGTCATTGGTCAAAACTACCTTCATGGTCTTTCAACGTTGTCTGTGAAATAGTGAGAAAAAAACCATGCCTCTCGGATTGTGTCTCTTGTGTTCCCCAGGAAATGAATGAGGCCGCCAAATGCTGTGCTGGGTAGTAAAGCTGAAGGAAGGAAGAAGGGCCTTGCCCTGTATCATACCGGTCCAGTGACAGCTTTGCAGTTTTCTTTCTGCTTTTGCTCACATCGTGGACTATAAAAGTGCTGCTGACACACATTGATTTGGGCATTCCCTTGCACCGGTTGGCCATAAGTGTACCTAGGAGAGGAAGAGAAACAAGAACCCAGTTATGTGGACTTAGCATGAAACCTGCAAAGATTGCAGAGCAATGCAGACTGCAAACTCCTCAGGA